TAACTTATCTCCTCACATAATCACCTTTCTTTGTGATAACACCTTAAATCTACTTTCTTAGTAAATTTCCCCAAAACACTCTTGTTAACACGTCACTAGTGAGATAACTGTGTTTTTTCCACTGTCTTCATGTTCACTAAAGAAAATCAGAGACAAGATAATAAGTACAACAGATGTTTTCTCAGATTTTCCAAAACCAGAGAAAGTGACAGAAAATGACTTATTTCCTCAGGGAAAGCTCTCCCCAGACCCCTCAGTCAAGTTTCTTTGTTACTCACATACTTAAGAACAATATTGCTTGCTTCGGTGTCCTTATTTGTAACTTTTTTCATTAGGACTTATTCAACAGGTGTCTATCTCCTGCAGGAGAGACCATAAACACCTGTTTACAGAGCGTGGGCCATGCTGCTTGTGCTCACCATCACTTACCGGGAGCAACAACCAGGGATGGCCAGCGAGCCGTGAAATCAGGCTGGATGAATCGGCCCTCTCACCTGTTCACTCAAGCTGGGCAGACTATAAGGTCAGCCCGCCTCTGAAGTCAAGGTGCTAAGGTGATATGTGGATATTACACCCCTAAGCTTCTTGGCCAACTCTGCTCCATCAAATATCTAGTTCCCCAACTACCAGTCTCTAAAGCCTTGTTTCTCTGAAAGTACAAGCAAATTAAGGGCACTGCAGTGGACACTGTGATGTGACACCCATTCCCTATTTACAACCGAAGGCCTGTTCCCCCAGCTGCTGGGACTATGGCCAGACAGCCTTTAGCTGTTAGCCCTATGGAACTGCCTCCACTGATGAGAGGCTTTGGATTTTTTTTTCCAGAGCAAACATACCACATTCAAAAAATGGTAGACAGAGGGCACAGCCCGCCCGAACCCAGGACAGCTGGAGGGCTCCCTGAACTGTCCTCCGCTCTCACTGAGATCGCATTACACCCTCTGCCCAATCCTGCTTAAGTCCGTTCCTTCCGCAGGTGGTGATCCCACAAAACCCCAGCGTGCTAATCCCCCTCTCGGAATCGGCCGCCCAGAGAAGCCAATGCACGACAGGCAACTCCTGTTTTCTTGAAAGTCAACTTATAGAGCTGACAAGACCCACGGTCACAAAAATGAAGTCCCCACCTCACTTCTGTTCTCCAGGGAGATAATTCATTAAAGAGACCCAAGGGGGGGGGAAAGACATTTTCTATTCCTGGCATAAGCTTTGTAGGCAAATAGACCTAAATCTGAATCATTGTTCTATGCTTGAGCAAAATAATTAACTTCCCCAAACCTCAATTTTATCATCTGAAAAACAGAGATAATCAGTACCTACTGCATAGATTTGCTTTGTAAAATATTTGCTGCATAAGAAATATAAGTGCCTTTTTCTCCTGCAAGGCTCTGGGGCATCGCCCAGCCCAGTCCCATCTCTCCCTGGCACACCGCTCTCCCTTTGGCAGCCAATGTCCAAGCACGCCTACCTGTCTGTGAAATAACGAAAGCTGAGCTTGGTGGCTTTTGAACTGCTGAATGGAGGACATAATATACACAGGGGATGGTGTCCACCTCCCCGTCCTGATCCTCTCTTCCAACAAACTTTAGTCAAAATGCTTCTGAGGAAGGTTAACTGGGCCAGAAACACGCCCTTCTGCTGCCTAGAAAGCTGCTGATTAGACCTCCGGCAGTTCTCATCAATACCTCCACCTGTCCATTCCCCCCAGAGAAAGCATTTCTTATAACTCAGGACCCAGAACGACATTCATTACTTACAAAAACCCTTCGCTCCTGATGACCTTGCCCGCTTTATCTCCTCTTCCCCACCACGTACTTTATCCTCCAGCCAACCATAACGAGAGATGATTTTTCTAGAAGTCTAAATATTGGAAGCCGAACAACTATGCTAAAATATTTTCAAACACCATCCGACATTTTAAATCATGACTTGGGATGGGGTGTGTAGTAGTGCTGGGACCAGTTGGTGACTGAACAGTGACACAGACTGAGCAACCAGAACAGAGTAATGCAAACTACAAGGGACTAGCTCCCAGATGACATAAAGATTCTGACTGCTTACATGTTTTGGCAGGTGACATCTATTATAAAGTTAAATCCAATCATGTCCATTACCTATCAAAACATATTTGGATCATTATTCTTTCGTAGATTGAAGACATTCAAAACCCCAGAAATGGCATTTCATTAGACCAGAACAGTACAGGTGACAGATATTCTGGTACACAGCCTTCTACGACATTTGCCTTTTCCTGAGGAACTCTAGTTCTCCCCAGTCCTGCTGGCAAGTTTCTTCCAACTAATCCACTCCACGGGCTCTTCTTAACTGTTACTCTCCCCATGAAGTCGTCCCTGTTCCAGGCAGTGCTTTCCCTGCTCAAAACTCAGATATATGTCTAGCTCTTACTGTATTTATCCTGTTCTATACCGGTTTAGTGATGGAAGTAATAAAATATGTACAAGATGGGCTATAAACTTTGAGATACTCTAAGAAGAAACTCATCATTTTGCAACAAATGATCCTCAAAGACCAGAACTCGAGATACTGTTTAGAATGAGAAATATTAACGGATAGAGAAAAGACAAAATCAGTATGTGTTTCTATTCACAAATTCTGATTGGTTAAGAATAAAGATATACTTTCTAAGCAAATGTTATATTTTAATATCACATAAAGAAGCTAAAAAATGAAATTAACCATTAATATCTGATACACTCATATGAATTATTACTATAATTCAGAGATGAAAATTCAAGTATGCTCAAGATATGGGCATGAAAATCACACTGGATGTGAAGCCCAGCACAAACGAAACAAGTTCAAACTATCTGACAGGTGTATAAATCAAACCCCATGGCCTACTGGGACTCCTTTAACTACAGCAGAAATAAAAACTGTCAAATAAAGGGGGAACACGAAGGGATTTTAGAACAGAAAGGATTTGCTAGATATTCTCGTCCTCTCTCAGAGATAAGGTTGTCAGAGGACAAGAACTGGCAAAAAAAAAAAAAAAAAAAAAAAAAAATTCCCGCCCTGGAAAGAGTTGCAAACCTGTGATTTTCAATGATACATAAAATTTTAAAAATTTCATCTGGATTCATGCCAAGGTGACAGCGCAAACAATGAAGAATGAAACATGACAATTGCCTTTACAAAACAAGAACAAGTCACTGGCTTGAGCTGAGTTCTTTATAAAGAGATAAAATGTATTCACATGGCCATA